TGGGTCATCATTTTCAGCCCAAGGAAGAAATGCACAAATTCCACTTCTCTCTGCTTCTTTGTTTTAATACTGTCACTTTCTCTGCAATGATAAAACAAACTTTTCAGGAGGGACTTTTTGCACTAGGACAAGAGGCAGGGTTTTAAACCAAAAGAAGGTAGATTCAGACCAGATATAAGTAAGAAATATTTTATAATGAAGGTGGTGAAACACTGGAACAGGTTGCCCAGAGAGTTGGTGGATGCCCCATCCCTGGAAACATTCAAGGTCAGGTTGGATGGAGCTCTGACAAACTTGGCCTATTTGAAGATTCCCCTGCTCATTGCAGGGGGATTGGACTAGATGGCCTTTAAAGGTCCCTCCCAACCCAAACTGTTCTATGAGTCTATGTTTCTATTCCATATTAAAGGCTCAATTTTTTTCATTAAGCACCCAAGTATATTAAATACACTGATGTGCATGTAACATTGGCAGGCTGTCTGCATATATGGAGGGGAAGGGTAAGGCCAAGTATTTTTGAAATGTTTTAACTATAGCACATATGGTATATACTAAATGGTATATACACAGTATATAAAAAAATACATTGCTAAGTTATAGTATATAGGGATGTTATGGCAGACTCCAGATACAATAAACTACATCATGCGGCTTTTCTGACATTCAAACTCCAATGCATAAATCAAAAAAGGATTTATCCCTTTCAGGTAAATGAGTGAAATATGTATGCACAAAACACATACCACATACCACAGCTGATGAAGACAGCCAGGTAATGTTTCTTAACCTTACCACCTCCTGAGGTATTTCTGCTGCCATAAGAAAGTCACTGTGGGACACTATAGTCCAATATACCAATAAGGATGATAACACAAAGCAATATATAATTAAAATTATTTTTCTTAAAAGATTATAGGTACTGGTGCAGAGAAAGCACAACCTGATGGGATGAAAAAGTCTTTACAGAAGTCTACACCATTCAATTGTGAAAATGAGGAATGGGATCAGGACTACATGAGAAAAGTGATCATCAAAAAAAAGGGAGAAAGTAGAAGAGGCATTATCTGTGAGAATATTCTACACTATTATAAAATATTTATTCAATATTTTATGAGCTATCCTGCACATAATCTTTGCTGCAGTTGATCGTTATTTTAAAGTCATTCACTGATGTTTTAGTCCTGCCATTTTTTATCCTTTATCACTTTTTGACTGTTTGTTCCTCTGTATATGCTTAAACATTGTCTTTTTTCATCTTTCTTATGCCTGTCCTTTTCCCAATCACCCTGAAAGCTACTCCAGCTTATTTTTTTTACTTTATTTAAACCAGAGTCGGAAGTCAAATCCCAAAACGATTTCAGCTTTTAAAACCAGGCCTCAGTTTCACAGCTTACTTTTCATCTTCTCTCTGAGTGGTAAGTTCAATAGAAAAAGGTACAGAAGATGCACACCGCCTGCCAGTTCATATCCCTGAAGACATTGTCTGCTTTCAAGTTTCTTTTTTCCTAATCTGGGCAACAAATGCTCATGAATTTAATGCCAACTACTGAGAATTGAACTAGTCCACATATGATAACATTTTCCATGGTGCAAATGATGGTGTTTTTTGTTTCTTTTAGTTTTCTTTTTTGCTATGCTTTTGCCAGTCCTCTCACTGCATCATGTCTCACAGTGCCCACCTGGAGTCAAAGGTACCAAAATGCAGCTTCATGCAAGTAACCTATAGGTAATAACTCTCAACAAACAGTGAATAGGGATGTATGGTGAAGAATAATTCAGCATGGTTTGCTATTATCTTTCTTTCCTTCACACTATCTATGTGTTTAGAACCCTCCAGATATGAAAATACATTCCTGGTTGGGAGCTGTATCAAATTTTCATGTAAAGTCACAAATATCTTTTGCAACATTAGGATATTATACCTTATGCCTTTTCAGAAAAGGCTCTGTACTTTTCAGTCAAGGTGTTAATGCTTTAAAATGGGTCAAACCTTTGCTGTTTTTGAACAACAGGGGCTTTTTTAGAAACATGATTTTGCAAATACCTGCTGGCCTATTCATTGTCAAACAGGACAAATCTCATTCCATTTCTAATGGCTTATCATTCATATGAATAATTCATTAATTGTCACAGCTAGTAAAATGATATTGTGAGAATATCTGCTGTATTCTAGGTATCTTTCAATAAAAGTGAACAGCTGAAAAAGAGGAAGATAAACCGAAATTACCAAAATGGATATATAGCTAAATTTTTTCTGGGCAATTGTTCATTCAAGACACTCTGAATTTGTTTGGAACTATTATGCTGACCTTTGATTGAGCTACATTTCAGAAACTCAGATTACATTTCAGAAATTCACCAGCAAGTCACTTGAACTCAAGAGCAACTTGTCAAACAGAAAGTTCAAACTTCAGCTGCATGTGTGGAAGCAGTCCAAGACAGAGACATCTGATATTTAAGTAAGACAAAATAAACCTTTTCTAGAAGTGTGGAAAGTGCAATACTAATCCAGCTCGGATTCAAATGTTGAACCACATGTACACAAACATGACTATAGTTCCCCTCAGAATAAACCACACAGAAATATTTTTATTACTATTTATGCAAAGGGGAGAACTCATATTAACTGCAGAGGAGTCAGGATTCCTTGCCGAATGAAACCAGACGATTTCCAATTTGGGGCCATACTGTATTCTGTCATATTCACAAATAGATTATGTTTTGGATCTGCAGATACGTAGCCCATAATTACTAAATTTATCTAGGGAGATGGATGCGGATGATGGGAATTGTTCAGTACTTGCTTTTTGGAAGACTGCTCTGGGAAATTAGTCACAATCATTTATCATTTTCAGATTCCAGAATGTTTCATTTCATAGTGAGAATAATGCAGTATAAACCCAGGTGTTGCAATTTGCTATCCTCTCAAATTCTACTGCAATTTTTAGAACAAGTCCTTCTCAACCTGAAGGCATAACAAAATGAAATTGGAAAAGAAGGGTTGCTATTCAGAAAGACATGAGAGATTTGAAGTGTTAACAAAAAAAAATAACGAATTATTTTTAAGTTCTCAAATCTCAACGAAAAAGAAACCTATGGATATTCAAATGTATTATCTGATTTTAACACAAGCCTTCCTGTTTCTCCAGATCAAAATCATACTGTTAGAAATTGGTAGAATTAATAACAATAACTAATCATTCATAGTCTGTACAGATTCTTGTAATAGAAATATATTGACTTAATTGAAGAACTGGGAGAAAGATGAAAAAGAAAACATAGTAAAGATAAACAGTAAAATAAAGTTAACTGGTGAAATCCCTCCTCCACTCATGTCAAAGGCAAAATCACACATCTTCATCACACAGGTAAAATATAAATCTTCAGTTTTGTCCAGTTTTGTCCTATCCAGCACATATAAAACTAGTGAGGAAACTGAACTGCCATGTGCTCTGTGTTGAAATTAAAATGTTTGTCTTTATTATTAACATTAATATTTACTATATTAATACAGTATATTATTATTGATTATCCTATCAGCATAACTAATTACTTTTTTCTATCTTTGCAAGTTGCTAAATATTCATGCTATAATGACTTGAAAGAAGAATGCTCTCTGGCAAGCTAACTAAAATAACTGGGGATAAATCAGTAAGAGTGGGGAGAGAGGGAAGAAAAAGAAGCAAAAAAATTCCAAGATTCTAATTTGAATTAATTTTTCTGTGCAACATCCACAGATCATTTTTGTCAACAGTACATAATTATACTGTATTAATTAATATAAGTATCAGGCAAACAAAGACCAGCCACTGCCACCATGATAGTATTTTGATGAACATGCAATGTTCACCCCTTACTACTTTTTCTTTGCATTCATCCTTCTTATTAGGTTGTTTTTCTGTTGTTGTGGTTTGGTTTGGTGTTGTTTTGGGGTTTTTTGGAGTTTTTTATTTGTTTGTTTGGCTGGTTTGTTTTGCCTTGGAGATATTATCACAGGAAGTTCTTTAGTATACTAAATGCCATAAACTAGGCACCCTGACAGATAATAGCTTTTAAATGCCGATAAAATAACTGGAAGGGTACAAAACTACTCTGGTGGTTTCACTTTCTACCCCTGACTGAGCCTCTTCCTTCATCATGAATTGTCAGCAATGTAAACCATGAAAACTCCTCTTGTCTTGTTCTTTATAAGCAAGCCATCAGGCCCTCAGACACTGAACTGGAACTTAAAAACAGGAGCAGATAGCATCAAAAGGGAAATAACTCAATATAACCTTTACAGTTCTGCAGCCCTGAGTCAAATTTGTATTTGGGCATTGTTCTAAAGAGAGCTAAAAATGTCCCATATTAATTCCTTCTTCTTTCTTTTTTATGTTTTTCCACTCTAACAACTCCTCGAGCAACCAAAGTTTATGGCAGGGAATACACTGGTCTCATAACAGGAAGCGCTTTCCTCTTCTGGCAGGCATTGTTCAGTTTTAAACCAAGAACTTTACTGCAGCTGCTAAATGCAAGATGTCCACAAAGGGGATGAACCTGGCTGAAGAAAAGCCAGGAGGAGACAGTAGATGTTTTACCAAACTTATGTTACTCACCTTAATTTGACCCTGAATATTTTCCAGGTACAACAACTTATTTCATACTGTACTCAGTTTGGCAAGGTAGTTGGAATGGAATCTAATTTAGAGTTTCGGCTAGGTAACTTTAGCTAACAGGGCAGTTGAAGTTGCCCTTTATCAGTTCATACATTTGTGTTATCTAATTTAGAATGCATTTGTGGAAGAAACGGGTTCTAATGTGTTTGATTCACTCTGAAATGAGCTGTACTGAAAAACAACTTTATTTTGTGGAAAATGCTCCATTGTTCCAGTATTGATAAGCTTAAATTGGACACTCCAACACTAACTCATTTCTTGGTAGAATGGTGTACTTAATAAAAAGATGTGGCAAGAGGAAGAAAATACATTCTTGCTAGTGTAAAAAGCTGAGGATCTGCTTACCAGCACTGTCACCACACGCAGAACCACTCCTCGCATGTTATTCTCCAGCTTTCTGTCTGTTAGTGACCCATTCAGACCAGTGACAGGATTCCAGCAGCCGAGCTAAAAGAGAAAACATAAATAATTTCCTCATTGCCCATAAAAGTTTGCTAATCATTCCTCTTAGGTGGCTTTAAGCAGAAACATATGTAATAAACAGAACCACCCTCTGGAATCAAGGGGATGGAAAATCAGAGAAGGGCTTGTGCGCAGATTAATCTTTAAATTGAAAATTAAGCAATTAGAGATATCAGTTTGCACTTTTAAATACCAGTGTGCAACGGATGACAGTATCCAGGATTTGGGGTTATACGCATTGCTTTAGAAGAGCTCAGGAAGGACTTCTACATTACTGAAAAATATTTAAAAAGTACTATGGCTGTAACAATACTTCTACCTTACTTTCAGTTATACACTAATGAAAGAAATAATAGCTACCATAATTTTAGCATGCTGTCAGCTTCAGCCCATCTTTCCTAGTGGAACTCTGACAAAAGGAATTACGCTAGTTTTAATTAAAGCTTATACTACTACTAATTGCTAATGAAACAGCAGTGATTTAAATCCAGGTTAAAAACCACATTTAAAGATGACTGAAAGATCATCAGATAAGCACATCACAATATTAAAAAAGAACTGCAATAGATAATGCAGAAAAAAAATTCAGCTATGGCATTGTTTGCATCAGTGTTATAGTATTTCTTGGGCTTCTGTCAACGGAAGCTTTTGCTCAGGAATCTCTTTAACTAACTGCCTTTCAATTGGAGCTTAGTAAATACTGACTTGTAATTTAGCTTTTCTGAAAATATAACTTGCCTACATTTTTATATGTTGGTAGATGCTTATCTTGGCTACAGAGAAACAAATCCATGAATCACATATCCCTTAGCATCACATACAAACATAACCAGTTTTGGTTTTGAAATTCATTACCCCACTCAGCTGGCCTGTACAATTACCAGTGTTAAATCCAAAACCCAAAAGAAAGACAATGACTGACTTCAGAGGACTTTGAAGCAGAGTCTTAATTATGGTCAATGCCTATGTAAAGCTGTTACACAGTCAAAGAAATAGACACCTGTAAGTAAAATTTCTTGCTCTGAATTGCCTTCTTGATGGACCTTGCATGAAGTCTTTCCAGGGATGCTCATCCTCTGACTCAGGTAGCTACCCTAAGCCTCTAAACCCAGGTGGTTTTCATGTCCCTATTTAAAGGAACAAAAGGTCTTGCTTCCTCTGAAAAACCAAGATTGACATCAGCAGGTTCCTGCTGGGTCCAGTAGCCTCTACTAAGACTACTCTCTTGGAGAATTCAATCCTTAGAGAAATATAAACTGTAAAACACCTAAAACATGTATGCAATTTGACACAGAGTCACAGAAATGGCAATCACAAAGCATCTGAAAGGGTCTGTAAAGAAGGGGACTACCTTTGCTGACTGTGCTAGAACAGAAATTTACAGAAATCATTATTTTCAGTTCTTCATGTGAAATGTCTCTATATATGTGTTTCACAGGTCTTTCAAAGTGAAACAGAAAACAAGGAACAAACTTTAAGTAAACATATTTAACAATTTCATAAATTGATAATTTGAAATATTTGTTTTCTTCAATACAGCCATTACTTTAGAGCAACTTCCCAATTTTTTAATTTCAATATATTCATATAAATTCTTTGAAGGTACCTCCTTAAGAAATGAGTGTCTCAAAAAGTACAGAACACAAGCTTTCTGCAATGATATAGAAGTTAGGTTTGACTCAATGATCTCAAGGGTCTTTTCCAATTTAAATGATTCCATAATTCTATGTAACCCAAAAGAAGATGGCCTTAAAACAATGAAGTAATTTCTCTCTGCCATTTTCAGAAGCACTCAGAGCTGTCCTAATTCTTGCCATTTTGAAGACAAGGTTATACTACAGTCAGAGAATGAGCAAGGATAATGATGAGTAATAACTGAATCAGGGATCTACTGGATTCAGAAAACTATCAGAAATCACTGAAAGCAGCAACAGGATACAAGGAGGAACGAAAGTATGAGGCATCATATTAATTACTCATATTTCCAGTACCTATTTCTAAATAAAAGCACAAATAATCACTTCTTGGTTTCCTCACTTTATGTTCCTATCTGATCACAAAGACCACCAACAAATCATACTAGCCATCTCTGCTTCCTCTGTACCTCCACGGTGTATCTGTTCACACGTGTTCACAGAGGTATGGATGGACTGCTGACATGTTCCAGGTCCTCATCACTCCTCTGGCAGAGCAACACCTTGAGATGAATAACCTAATTGCTGAAGTGTATTACCTGTAATAATGCAGTGAAATGTAGCAAATGTACTTGAAATATGTGCGCTGTACACTGTATGTGGTGAACCACTGCCATCCTATAAAGCAAAGCATTTGACAGTCTATGTTTTCCGTACTGAAAGTATTGAAAACAGCATTCAAGTTCAGAAGAAAACTGCATTAAATTAATTTGGCGATTGTCATTCTTAGTCACACAAAGAAACTAATTAGAGCTTAGATCCAATTAGCATATCCAAATGTGCTGGATGTATAATTACTGCAGAAATGGTGCTGCTTTTGCCAGAATTAAAACCCTAGAAAGTTACTGAAGAGCCTTTGTATCCTTTTGAGGTTAAACTCCATTTTTAATTATGTACATTATTGTGCACGTATTTATATAATTAAATTTTTAGCCCGACCCATTCTACCTTTTTAAGGAAAAAAAACCCCACCAACATAAGTGATTCCTGGAAATTCAGCATAGCACTGATTTTCCTTTAAAAAGGTACTTTTTACTTTCAATTATTGTTCATTTAATTTTCCATTCAATTGTTCCTTTACGCAGCACAGTCATGGCAAAGACAAATGTGCAGTGTCTTGCCAACAAAGTTGAAATTGATTTTGAGTGGGAGCTGCTTACCGTTATTGGGAGAAAACAAATCAACATTTATTGACGACAATTTGAGCTTGTCATTGCAGCATGGAGCAAATGTAACTATTGCTGAAGCAGCGAGATGGGGGTGATATGAAGCTATCTCTTCAGCTTTATGTCTCACTTAACTGCTTCTGCAAAACATTTGCTGCTTCTGCATTTGCTTCCTTTTTCTTTTGTCCTGTCTCTGATAGTTCAAATGAGAGAACAGATCAGAATCTAACACTAACTGACAGAATCTAACACTAACTCTGGTGAATTTCTGTCGATTGGTGATGGGAACTCTCTATTGGGCACAGCGCTTGTCATCTTTATATCATATGAACTTTGTCATTTATAGTGCTTTGTACTTCTGTTGCCGTTTCTTTTATTTATTCTAATGACAACTTTCATTCTGCTAGATTTGATATAATATGATGAAGATGGAAAAGTTGACACTCTTCTATTTCCTTTGATATCTAATTTACGATCTCTTTCTGGTCATCCCACCTCCCAGCCGGTTATCCCCACTGTCATCATTATTGGAATGGGTTTGCTCTCCTGTTTTGCTGGTAGAGCCAAAAATTTACCTCTCTTCTTTATTAGAAATTTTTGTTTATATAAACAATGCATTAAGGAAGGTCTTCAATTTGTATATCAATATTAAAATAGGAAAAATCTATTTCATGTGTATTTGCAATTTCCAGGCACTGATTTATAGGGAACTTGGAATGCTAAAATCTATATTGCCTTTATGACAGAGCTTACAGTCAGTTTTTCTCCCCTACTTCCTACAAAATCAGTGAGCTCTGAAGAATAATTGAGAGCTTTTGCTTTCATTTCAGGCAGAGTAAAAAGCAGATTAAAATTGTGCCAATTAATCAAGAAAAATAAATTGGCCTGGTATGATCACAGTTGAGGACAATCACAGAAAATAAGTAAAACACAAATACTGATAAAAATGCATAACTTAGGTGCTTGTCACTACATCAAAGCGTAGAGTGTTCTGTTACTTCAATTAATACAGGAAATATACAGGAACTGGTTCATCCAGCATTGCAGTGCAACCACCTCTGAACTCAGACTGCATCACAGCAATACTACTAACAGTCAAGAGCAGAAAACACCCTAGAGAAGCTGCAGTGGAAATCTGCAAGATAAAACAGTGTTACATCTGCAACTGAAATCTATAAGGACACCGGGATTAGTGGCTCCTTTTTCCTTTATTTCCCTGGCATTTAAAGAAAGAAAATAAACAAACACACAAACAAAACCCAAAAGAACAATATCTTGGTTTTAGTATGGACAGCCTGACAAAACATTTCCAGTGGAAATGCCCACCACAGAGCACTGTTGAGGAGCTGTTCCATTAGCAGCTTGTAGAGAGCTGGGTACTCACAGAAATACCAGCCTCCTTGCCACAGATTCTTCACAAACTCCTTCCTCAATTTTCACCCAGGTCCAATCTGCTTTAGGAACTGACTTTTTCCAAGATGTGACTTCAACAGAAGAAATGTGCGTCAATAATCCCCTTTTCCATTCCAAAGCATAATAAATTCACACAAATGAAAAAGACACCACGAAGCTGTCATGAAACAGCACTCAGCTAGAAGATTCTGAATTCCCAGAGGTGTTGGGAAGACTCAAAATAGGATGCACAAAAAAAAAAAAAATTAAAAAAAAGGGTTTAGACAAACTTCAAGTAGGACAACATAGCAATTGTTTTGCAAAGAGTATTTCTGATGTGTCTTGTCAGCTGTTGTTTAACAGGACCAAAAGTAACTGGGAAATCAGAGACTAAATCCTATTGATGAAAGACTACGTCCTACAGAAGAAACACTGTAAAAGAGATCATTTAGTTGTCAATCTGATACTGTCAGTTATGTAAAATTTTGTCAGACACTCTGTCACCTGGCTAAAAAGTCCTTTCAGTCCAGCTCTCTAGCCAGCAACGAACAGTTGGTCAACCAAATCTGCAAAAATTCTGATAGCCAGAGATTTACTAAGGGCCTTTGCACCCTTAGACTTGATTAAAGAATCAAGGATCAGTTTCATTCTTCACACCAATTTCCTAATACAATTGGTTAGCAGGAAAGCTTTCTGTGTTTAACTGCTACCTTCATTGGAACCTAGGTAATAG